GTATGTTTGAAATGATTTGACAATAAATGTGATCTTCCAATTGACAATTTAAAGTTAACTGAGATTGTAATGCATTAAAATGTGAATGCAACACAAAATGCAGTGAAAGGTATAGAAGGGCGTTTTGGGTATTTTCCCCCTAACTTATTTGAATTGTGCTATCGACATCACGTCATGAGACGAAGAATCCATTCGGAGATCTCACACTGTGAAAGATATTGTTCGTCGGACTTCTGAAAATGTTTTCGAGTTGCTTCTTTATCCTTTACACCATGCACTCTGTTATGAGATTGTCGCCAGACATACAAACCAGTATTTTTTTCCCCAAAGATGGAATTTTGCCAAATCAAGTGGAACCCCATATTTTATGGGATGTTTTTTTTGTATGTGACTACACAAGTGTAGGTGGTTAAGACTTATATTCATGACTAACGACTAATATTTAATGCTTTTGTCCTTTATTCACTGCCCGTGTAATTGCTTGCCATCTTATAGCATTATGGAAATTATCATCATTATTATTACTATTATTCAAACCCAGGCTCTTAGTGGTGCCGGCTCAGTGCGCTGACCCCTCAGCTACCTCTTTGTAAAAAGGCAACTTTTTTACGAGGTCATTTTTTTATTTGAAGCCATATATTTTCTTTACTCAAGTGATCTATTGCTGTTTGTCTTGTTGGCAACAGTATACCCAAACATATTGGTGATGGGAAAGTCACGTTATTTTGCTTGCTTTATTTATACAATTAACAAACATGCTTTTTGTAAAGATAATTACACAAAACCATTATTTTTTGCTTTTAATTCATGATTTAAAAAAAAATGTTTTATAAAAGCTACAATATCACTCTTCATGGTTCTGTCATCTTACTCACAAATGCTAAAACATGTTTCATATTCTAGCATTCTTGTTTTAAATTGATACGAAACTCAAGTGACATACAAAAGCAGCATTCCCCCCAAGTGTTTTGAGGCCGTTAGGTGGCGGTGGACCACAGCTTCTGGCAACAACTGCGCCATCTGTGTATATTATACTGTACATGTATACATAATTTTGTACAACAAATGCAACAATTATTTTTCCTTGTCCTTTACTTTTTGAATGTTTCTAGAGGTCAGTAGCAGTTCGTCTTCTTTAAACAAAATTCAGCCGATCACGTTGGCCTCTCTTAATTTAAAATCAATCCAACATTGTACTTTTTACTGTGACTGATCTTACTCTATGCATTGAAGAAAGGGTTGTTGCCAGAAATGTCTCCTGTTGAAAGGCAATGTTGTTGACGATTGCTTTGTCTTTTATTGTAATGTACGCTTATGCACCACTGTCAAAGCAGAAGCATCTCCAAATAAACTTTTTGTGCAAATCCACTAGTCTGCTTCCTTGAGTAAATTTTAATTGTCAGTTTTTCACTAAGCCTATCATATATAACCCTAGACTTCTGGCTTGACAAAAGCCCACAAGTTAATTCATCCAGGGGTTATCCCTGTGGCCTTTGAAAGTGGTACACTTTTTCATGGAATAAATGTAAATGTGTCTGCTGTCCGTACGTTGTCTAAAAAAATATATATCAAGTCTTTAACCCTATACCATGACTCACAACAAAATTGTACCTCACCCTTTCCAATTGGACTTTAGATAAGAGTGCTTCTTACCAGCTCATGTTAAACTTTCTGATCCCATAAGACTGATGCAATGCCTTTCTTTACGCGTTTATGCTTTTTTTTCTCAATATTCTGATGGTATATTTCTCTAAATCTATGTGTAACAAAACCCCAGTGCTCTCTGTAGTGAACGATTCCTAACAATAATCTGTTGCTCTGCATCTCCATTTCATACGCAAATTATATCGTATTTCATATGCAACTACGTTTCACGTGTATGCAGTAGTATATATATGAATATCTGTTTTTGTTTTTTGTGTATTTTTTATTCTCTGAGAATAAAAACAATATACCAGCAATATTTCATCTTTGCAGATCAGGCTTTATTGCAGTTAAGCCATGGAGGCGAGATCTGCATTTCTAGAGAGATGCTGCATCTCGCTGATACTTATTTGATATTTAATTGAAATCATTGAATATATTTAAGTGCAGACAGTGGTTCAATTGTAAGTTGGGATGTTTTTACATGGACAATTATATTTGGCACATGTACCTATCAGTCTGTCAGCTTTTTTTCCTAGTTATTTGTGGTCAAAACTGATCTTATATTTTGTCTACATGTCACTTCAAATATTTTTTGAGACACTCTGATGAGGAGTAGAGGAGTTATATTCGCGTGGCTTAGGCGCCAACGGTAATTCTAAGAAGCTGAATGAATGATCCATATGTTTTCTTTGTTTAGGGCTTTCTACATCTTTCAAGAAACCACAAACCTTCCCCTAACATCTGTAGAGGTCCCCTGGGAGCCTTTGGGACCATTGTATGCAGTGTCTCCCTTTCATGATTCCGTTATTCTGGTTGTAAAAGGTGCTCACGTTTATGTACCATGTCTATCTTCACCGGATGGAGGGAATAGCCCATCCTGCTGCCTGGGTGGGAGCACTCACGAAACGTAAACAGGCAACCAGTGTTTATCTGTGCCCTTTTTATGGCCGTTTGGAATTGTGTCTCGCCCAAATGTGAACCGCCTCCAGTGTCATTCCATGTCTGCTGTACTGTACTTACATGGCTCAGTGGTATAATCGAGCAGCTCCCAGTTAAAAGGTAGCGAGTTCAAATCCTGGTTGATGATTGAGTAGGCCAATCATCTGACCATTATTGCTCAAATGATTACCACTTTTGGGGAAGTCAACAGTGGTGGTCCTGTGAATATACTTTCCCTGCCATAGGAATGTAGAATGTCTACCATTGGGTCAGGGCTGTGAACAGGAGATGAGTACTGAAGCAGTGCTAATTTGAACTGGAAATCCGTTTTTTTGTTGTTGAATGTTCCGACAGAATACATTTCCCTTCTATTCATTCTATGCTGGTTAATTTTGACCTGCCATGCTTTTCATGTACACTGATTTATAATGCGTTATAATAACGCATCGATTGGTATAAATAATATAATTTTAATGTAATGACATGTATTGGCATATTCTCACTTCTGTCAGATTTGTATTCTTAAATATCTACAGCATAAAACTAAGAGAGCAGGGCCAGTGCATGTATCTAAAACTTTTAAACAGAGCAGCATCAGCATGGTGTTGCCCCATTCTGCAGCTGTGCTGGGCTGTGCTGTTGAAATGTATGTTTGAAATGATGAATTGTTAAGAAATGTTTAGTTGCATTCGTCGATATCAGCAGATTGAGAAATTGTGGTCTCAGCGTCAATGCACCTTGCTTACATTTAATAAAAGTGTGTTTAGACATAAAGTTTGACGAGTGGAGTAGGATTTTATGTCCACCAAATATATGTGAGATAAATAACTGTACAGTGTTTTTTTAGAAAAAATATGCATCGTTTAATTAACCTCCTATGTTTACATATTGTCTTGAAATTATTCAGTTTACCATATATTGTCATTTGTAATTGCATATGGGAGATCAACTTTGCATCCTACTTTATTTAGTTCTTCAGTAAGTGTTTATCGTTAACTTACATTAGTTGTCATCTTATATTTTGTCATTGGCAAATATGAGATGATGAATACTTTCCTATTTTTTTAAATCATATTATTGTGTCCTTGTATATATCTTTGGAGATAAAATAAGTCCTTTGCTGACTCCTTTTCCAATATTTAGTGTGCTTCTTTTGTCATCGAACATCACTGTAGCTGTTCCATTTTTATGGCTTTTATTATATTGTAAAAATGTGTAATCCTTGGTTGTGAGAGCTTGAATGACTGCATCAATTTACACTGAATCAAATGCCTAGCTGCAAAGTTCGACTCAAGATCAACATAATAAACATTCATGTACAACAAGTTCACTTAAAAATTGAAGAGATATGTTGGATGAACACAACTTGAATGCCACATAAGAGTTTGCATACCTAGTGGTAATTATATTTTGATCCTGGTGTACCTTGAATAATTATTAAACCAGGATGAAAATGACCACAGAAGGATGAAGGGCTTTTGCAAAACTGAAATTCACAATGAAATGCCACATATCGAGATGGTTTGTTGCATCGATGACTGTGGGGAATGGCGATAGTTTGGGCAGGTCTTCAATCCAGCACTTTATAGATCATGACTAATAATGAAGTTAGACCAAAATTAATGCGATTTCTATCATGACTGTGTTACCAGTTACTTGGTATGGATAAATCTGTGGACATTGTATGTACTGTAAGGTACCATGGAGATAATTATTTGGGAAAGGCATAGTATATATGTGACTCATACTATTATTGTATTTTTAAGGTACACTGTTATTAAAACTGTCCAGCGTGATGGGCTTTGTTGTTTAGACACAATCATACAGCACGTAAGGATGTGTATGTGCACTTTGGGAATGTCCTTGTTTCCAATGGTAACATACACATGTAATTTGCCCTTCCCCTTCACATTAAAAACGTGCACCATGAACATGCGTGTGGGTATTTTTTTTACTCTAGAGTAAATTCATCACATGACAGTGTTCTATGTAATATTATCCGTTCACGCATTACGGTATACTAGACCGTCGCCCAGGTGTGTTTTGATAGAGCTTGACGGTTGCTCATCTCACAGCCTGGCAGGCAATATCACCATAGTTGTTGATTTTATTTGCAGTGCACTGGCCTTGTTCTCCAAAGGCACTCGGAGAGAAAATAAAATAAATGACTCAGCATGGAGCATTACGAAAACAGGGAATTCCTTGTTTTCATCCACGTCAGTGTTTATGGAATAAACAATACGGTACTTGAAATGTGTAACACCACTAAAGACAGCGTTGATAAGTCATACTTAACACATATTTTGTTTGTATAACATTTAACAATGAATAGGTATTATTGACGTTCAAGTTATTATTTTGTTGGATGTTTTCATTGCATCATATTGGTGTTGTCTTGTTTCCATTCACACCAGTACTGCCATTCCGAGACTCGGTACTCACAAAATTATTGAAAAATGCTCTGGGAGGCAACAGCAAGACTATCATGGTAAGAACCATCTTAATTTAATGTGCACAATGTTGCCCAAATTAGCACACTAAATAAATGCAGACAATCATTACTTCAGCCAGCTACTCTTTGCATGCCTGGGGGGTACTCAGTGTGGCCCAAGACCTGAGTTAATTCTATAAAAAAAAACCTATAAACTTTAAGAGGCCAAGGATTGCACTTAGATTTTTCCTCCATTTTCCATGCAATAATAATCATACTGAAGCCAAATTTCTCCGTATGTCCATTGCCAATACTATATAAAATGATGCAGTAGTCATGTATCATATGAGTAACCTTTCTTGCAGGTATAATATATGAATCGCTGATTAATGTGACAATGGGATTTGTACCTGATCGAGTCCAGGCACAAGCAGTGTATCTATTTTCGCAGACCATTTATTATTTTCAGTCCATTGCATTTTGAATTGTGCTGTTATACAATAATAATACATTTAATCCGTCTCTTAAAAGTATGTTTGATTAGCATTGCTGCTCGACATCAGGAACCTCAAAGTACTGTATGTTAGAATATAAGTGGCTAAGATAATGGTTTAATGGACAAAGAGACGTTTTTACCATCTCTTAAAGAATGGAGCCACAAACCACAGCTGCCCTTTTTAACGAATTGTCTGTGCAGATTGCAGCGCTGAGCCCTGCGGATGTCAATTATGAGGAAACCTTATCCACCCTCCGCTTTGGTGAGGTTTTACAACAGGCACTGAGAGGGGGACATGATGGCCCAGTTTAAAGGTCTTTAAAACGTTTCAACGCCTAGGGCTAGGTGTGTTTGCGTATTGTCTGGGAAGCCTTCAGTGGAGTCAGGAAATGGCCCTTTTGTCTCAAAGTAAATCCTGCTGATTTTGCTCCCAGCAAAGAGGATTATGTTGCCTCCTAACGTGTTTTTACCCTACACACAGCTGTTATGGTTACTCTTTCAGTACACACAGGAATGTGGATGGTTTTCCTTTCACTTAGTTTGGTCAAGGCTATCTAGTAGAGACCCATCTCGTCGCATTCTTTGACAGTTAAATGCGTGTGTCAAATTTCTCATTGCAGGATTTCTAAGAAATCTGTTAACATTTTCGCAGTAAAATTATTGAGTGTGATGTACTCCAATTTGACATGACAAGGGGTTCCCTTTAGTTATTGTGGAAAAAACCCCACAAAATAAAAGTATAATCTAGAGTACCACAAATGTCACTCATGTGTTGCAAACCGATTATTGTATTTGTAATGGCCGTATGTGCAAACTAAGTTTTGAAAATGAATTAATCATTATTATTTTCCAGGATGATGGATAGGAACTTCAAAAGCCATAACTGAGTGTGATTTTTTTTATCTGCCGGTTTTTGTCTGAACGCAGTGGACCGGGCAAAGGCAATCCGAGTGCAGGCGGTGGTGAACGAGAGCCCGACCAGCCGTCTCGTCCGTGAGCTACAGCAGGAAAACATGCGACTGCAAGAACTGCTGAGCCAGGCCAGCGACGGCGCTGAGAAGTCTTCCTCGCCTGCCTCTTTTAATGAAGGCAGGGCCATGTGTGATGTCACTACAATACCAGCTGCAGTGCCACCACTTTTCCCCTCGAGCCCCTCACGAAACAGCCGAAATAGATAGCGGACTAAAATTCAATCTACTGAAGTCTTTGTCTCATAAAAAAAACTATAGGTATCTTAGGTCAATGGTGGTGGTGAGCCAGAGGAACCACAAATCATTGACACAAAACATAGTTAACTTGGACCAGAATTGTACAACGGGCAAATTAAAATTGTAGTATTTTGTGAATAAATCTAAGTTTAAATTAAATGTACGCATAAACATCCAGGCTTATTCTGTTTTTGAACATTGTACATATACAGCCATTTTGTAGACGAGTGCCTCTCCCAAAGCAATGAAACGTTCTGTAAAGTTCGCTGTTTTGCAGAGATCTCATTTTTGTGCAGGGTCGTTGCAAGGGGAATCCTGGGGTGGGCCCTGCACCACCAAATGTCCCTGTGACCCAGCCAAGTTCTCTCTCTTAGCGGTGTGAATCACTGCTATTGTGCCCCCCCCCCCACGCAACAGCTCCACTTGCAATTTCTTCGAGCAGGAGCTGGAATGAGGCCTGTTTTAGCTCTAAGTAACCATGTCGGACCTTGAGGGATGTCTAGGGCTTGGGGTGACCATCATCCAGCAGTGGATTGACCTATTGATTGTATCTTGCATGGTTTTGAGTCGTGTAGAGTTGGAATCCCTGCGCCAGCAGCTGGAGCAGAACCGGCGGGAGATGGAGCACATGGCCATGAGCTGGGAACAGAGGCTGGCAAGCGAAAGGCTTGCACATCAGGTGCTCACCCTTGCTGCTTGTCCCACCCAGTGGCGCTATTCCACTTGGTGTGGAATTTCTCATGCTGGTTTCTTTGCCCTAAGCTTGTGTTTTTTGTCTTTAATACTTAATTTCTGAAAGTAAAGATGAACTCTAATGTATAAAGTAATTCAGATGTGTCCTTTTACGCAAAACCATAACATTGCTGAATTGCCTAATTTTTTGGTAAGATGTACATATTTTTGTAAGGGCGCCATGCTGGTGAGATATTAACTACCCCCCTGGTATACAGCAGGTCGTGGGTTCGATCCTGACCCTGACACCTGCTGTATATTTGGAGGTTGCATGTTCTTCCCGTGGTCGCATGGATCTTTCCTTCCAAATTTAGAATCAACATTCGTATTTGGCTGCTTTAAATTTCCACGTGATAAGCAACTTCATTGAGCTATCATTTGTGGCCAGGTCGCTTCTGAAAAAGAGCTGTATAGCTGAGTGGAACTTACCTGGTAAAATCTTGATTTAAAGCTTTCGTGACTGCAGGAATCCATACTCTCTGGTTCTTTCGGTAAAGTCACGTAGGTTTTCATTTTATACCTCCGTGACTTTACCGAAAGAACCAAAGAGTATGGTTACCTGGTAAAATATTATTTTTTTAAAGTTTAGTTTTCATATACATAAGTGTAGCTTAATTTATGCATTCTTGTCCTGGTGTTTCATGTAGCAAAAGCTGAAAGAGGAAAAGGAGCTGCGGGAAAAAAGGAAGGCGATACCTCACTTGTGGAACTTGAACGAAGACCCCGCACTTACTGGCCTTCTCTGCCACTTCATCCCAGAAGGTTGGGCACATTCCAGGGATCCCATTGTACCACCGACACAAACTGCATTTATTTGCACGCATTCTCAGAAATTCTCCTATGTGGCCTCGCATCCAGTGTGTTCTAATATGTGATTATTATTTGTTTCTCCTTACTTGCCTGGGATTGTATATAAGATGCAATAGTTAATTTTGAGCAATGACTTTAGATTTATTGAGGTACAATTACGATAACATTTACAAAAGGTAACTAAATTTTTTTTATTGTATATGTTTGCAGAATTTTAAACAACACACATTGGACACACACATGACACATCGCAACATTCCTTTGCAATGCATCACTTGGGATTAATGGCACGTGGAACCATAACATCTCACACAACCCAAACATCTCCAGCAAAATGCTCAGAGAAATTAATGCTTTCGGAGTGACCTAAATAATCTGCTGGTATGAACTGGAGCCAGTAGAGGCCAGCTGCGCCATATATGGTGACCCGCCCATGAGACTTTATGACTTTTTAACCAAAGAAGGAACAAACACAGTACCTTCTTAGGAATAATTTGGTTGGAATTTGTTACTGACTTCAATATGGTATAACACAACATGTAGATGTTTTGATGGTTTAAAAAAGTAGATTATATGCCTCAAAATTTAGTGTGACACAAATCTAATTATCACAAGCTTCTTCCAAACATACAGCCACTCAAAAAAATTCAACATATGGCACTCATACTTTGTAGCACTGTGACTTGACTAACCCTGTGGCTTTCCTCCCCGATGCCCGCATCCACAAGGATCCCTGTTTATTGGAAACGGAAAATCGGAAAACCCGGCTGGAATCATTTTGCACGGGGTCGGGGTGCTCCCTCATCATGCCTCGGTGAATAATAAGGATGGTGTTATCATCCTGGCACCGTCCCCAGAGGCCAGGGTGCTCATGAATGGCTGCCCTCTCACCCAGCCCGCCCTCTTGAACCACAATGACAGGTGAGATAGGGATTTGTAAGTGTGATGGATGATGGCGTGTATCCTTTGCACGTGTCACTGCTTGGATACCGAACCGAGACCCCAGTAGTTTCTTGAGGCCGAGAAACAAAATACTTTCAAAGATTGTTCAAGATCCTGGCGCTTTTGAATCCTAAAGTTATATTTTGTCCCAAACATTGAAGCTGGGTGGTGGATCAAAACTGGCATGAATTAAATAATAACATAAATAAACACTTTTCAGTATTTTGATAGATTTTTCGGTGTTTTTGGGAGGCCATCATTGTAGAACAATAGAATTAAGGACGTCTGATGTAAAATGCGTGTGCAAACTAACCTGAACTGGAGGCTGTTGCAAATATATAATTAAAAGTATTTCATTAAACTAATATGCTAGGCTTTCCAACTCGTCAGTGTATAGTTATTAACATCTTGACAAACTGCTCAGTAACATGATTTATATATATAGAATGTATCTTCTTGGTTCTTTCGGTAAAGTCACGTAGAAGGGACTTTACCGAAAGAACCAAGAAGATGCAGTCACGAAAGCTTTAAATTGATATAGAATGTATGTTCGCAAGAAGGGTTGGTTACTGGTGGTCAATATGAATGAGTGAGTGGCAGACAAAGGAAGGGAGCATTCCCGAGAGGAATTCCACCGTGCAGATGAAGGAATGAATTCAGCTCATTTGCAGGAGATATATTTTTGTTGAGATGTGAATTGTGTTAAATGTTTTAAATGCTACATTACCTTTTAATTTTATCGTGCGATCGGGTGGTGGTAATTTGTCTTGTTGGAATGGCATTCCTTCTGCGCTTCAGGGAAGGCATGCCAAAGAGACATGTCTAATGTTGAGTGCATGCATCTATCATTAGTTTACATTCCTTTTTTTAATTGCGCCTCAATTCTTGTCTGGTCAGCTGTTGGCCACAGCTTAAAACAAAGGAAAAAATGTACGCAACTAGTCCAGCTAAAGTGTGTGTGTTTTACTGCATTTACAGTTCTATCATATAGTGGACATGTGTGTGAAATGTCAACAGTCAGTGTAGATTACTTTTATTTAAAGCAGGTGTCGAGCAAAACGTTGAAAAAATCGATTGATCTTCCAATTGGAGTAAGATTTTAAGCATGTCATTTGCTTCAATGTATGATTAATGCTGGTAAACCTAAAGCAACTTCACTTTTTTTGAAGAGTCATTGCACGATTTGATATGTAGCTGATTGGTGTGGAGTTTTGTTAGCTGTTCAGCATTCATTGCCATTAAAAGAAACACATTTTCATTTCCAGACCTTATTAGACCTCCATATATTAAGCCATCTGTACATCCTGATAACAAATTAGAATTGATTCACCTTGTGTATCTCTTGAGTACGGAGGTCCATACAGTCAGAACGATTGTTTTTCTCTATACAGTATTGTGTCATTACCACATTCCCTATACCGATTGAAGTTATATTTGCTTCACCAATCGTAAAGGTAACCTCCATTTGTATTTAAATGAAAGTGTTTAACTGTGTTTCATAATTATTTTACTATCCATAATTAATGGAAACTGTTCAGTGAATAGATAAATAAGTCAAGTATACCCTGACCATTGGGACCTTTGTACCATGACAATAATTTTGTTAACCAGGTTCAGGGATGAAGCCAGATGTGTGAATTGTGTACACGTGGGAGTTGGGGAAAGGCGGGTTTGGTGTGATAGGATCCAGAATAGCTCTGCGATAACATTTCAATTTTTAAAGAAGTCACAAGCGTTCTATTGTCCACAGACAAATGCACTCGGGGAGACGTTTAGTGTGAGAACATAGCTAAACACAATATTGTAATTACTGTATTCATGTCCAGTGCCTTCCTGGGTTATGTATACACATAGATGAGAAACATGAACTCCGATTTAAAGTGTGAAATAAAAACGGAAAAGTACACTGTAATGGAGAGATGGATGATGAGAATGATAGTGAGATACATAGACAGGGATAAATGGATCAGAGAACAAATATAAAATTAGAGACATATTGACTGTCAAAAAAAATAATGTGGATTTAGGCAGACTGGTGATTACAGGGCAGCCACATCAGGTAACACACACGAGAGAGGACATCCACCTTTGATATGGAGCCATGACATCAGCTCATGTACAGAAGCGAGATGGATGGAGGCATCGCAGAGCAATGAGGGATGGGGATGATGTGGAGAGGCCTTCATCCAGCAGTATATTGAACAAGACTTACTGTATGATGATGTGTCCCTGGGTGAAGTAGTGTTATGACAAGATTCATATTTTTTTAACTCTTAATTATTTACTTTGTGAAAAAGTAGTGCATGTAAAGTAAAACTAAGCCAATTATTAAAGTAAATGTTAGCACCTTTAAATTCACCCAAAATAACTTTCATTATGACCTTTAAACATTGTCTTTGAATCTTGATTTGAAGCTTTCGTGACTGCAGGAATCCATACTCTTTGGTTCTTTCGGTAAAGACTACCTCAGCAGTATGTAACTCAGCTCACTTGTTCTCTCTAATCACTGTCTCCAGATGATTTGCTAGTCAGCTTTGATGTAGTTTCTCTGTTCACCAAGGTTCCTGTACCTGACACCTTAGCAATAATTCAAGACTTAGTCCAACATGGACTGAATCCTGATGTACCTAATCTGGTTAGGCACTACCTTACCAACACTTCACCTGGAATGGTACTTTCTACAAACAAAATGAAGGTACCGTCATGGGTTCCCCCTTATCACCAGTGATAGCAAATGTTTTCATGGAGAAATTTGAAACAGATGCCATCCAGGCATCTACCCTACGTCCTTCCTTGTGGAAGAGATATGTCGATAATACTTTCGTCATTTAGCCACATGGCCTGCCAGCTTTGAACCAATTTCTCAACCACATAAATTCCATACACCCATCCATCAAATTCACCATGGAAATGGAGAAGGATGGTAAGCTACCTTTCTTGGATGTTTTGTTTGAGAAGAGACCTGATGGCTCGTTGGGACACTCTGTCTACAGGAAATCCACCCACACAGATTCCTATCTGAAACCTGCTTCCCACCACCATCCGGCACAGAAGAATTCCCTTATAAAAACACTACACCATAGGGCCCACTGCATTTCCGACCAATACCACCTAGCTCGTGAACTGGAACACGTACACCAGGCCCTCAAGATGAATGGGTATTCGGACCGCATTATTCGCAATGCTGTTTCTCCAACTATAGAGAAACAACTATGGAGAAACAACCCCCTGAAAAGCCAATCAAAACCATCATGTTACCATACATAGCAGGTGTTACCAAAAAGATTTCCAAAATCTTAAACAAACACAAGATCCAGGTCCGATTCAATACAATACACAAAATCCGTGATCTAATCCCCTCTGTGAAGGATGTCATTCCTGACATTCAATATCCTGGAGTTTAAAAATTGAGTTGTACCTGCGGCAGCAGTTACATCGGGGAAACGAAACGACACATATCGGACCGTGTCCGCGAACCCAAGGCAGATTTGAAACACGGCAGAACCAATACCTCTGCCGTAGCTGACCATTGTTATAATGCTGTGGGCTCACATGATATTGTGTTTTCCGAGACCAAGGTACTCTGCAAACCTTCAGGCTACTATCAAAGGTTTGTTCATGAAGCCATCCAGATATATAAACATAACTTCAACCGAGAAGATGGATACAAATTTAGCAATCGTTGGAAGGATGTTATTAACCAGGTAAAACCCAAACTGCTTTATGGTTGTTGTCTATCATATCTGCCAGGTACTAGTCAAATTTTCTGAGTTAACTTCCGCCCCGCATCCCCAGCTCTCTCGGCTTCCCACTTCCAGCCCCACCCAATTCCCCCCGTCCAGCTTCACGTCCCTCTCCTAGCGTCCATGCAGCGCTCCCCTCCCCTGACCCCACACCCCCTCTCTCTCCCCCCTTGCCCCTCCCCCCCTTTCTTACCTATATAACCTCTTACCACGGCATCTTTCTCCCACTTCAGCAAAACCAAAAATCTCTTCCTGTGGTTTTCCCACCTGATGATGATTGCTTGTGTTGCAATCGAAACGTTGTGATTTATTTTATACCTACGTGACTTTACCGAAAGAACCAAAGAGTATGGGGATTCCTGCAGTCACGAAAGCTTCAAATCTAAACATTATGTTAGTTTGGCATTTCTCAGCCAGATGTTCCCAATACTTTTTGACTGTCACAATTTTCTCTATCTTCTCTAGGCTCCTGCTTGGTGCATCACAACTTTACGTCTTGTATGATCCCAAAGCAGTGTCTGTGGACTCTGGAGGAGATCGCAAGCAAACTGTAACGTTTGACAAAGCTCAGGAGGAGATTGCTTGTAACAGTGGCCTCTGCATGGCAGTGGGGGGTAATTACTCCGGTGAGTGCTACTTCATGCACATCACAAACTGAATTACACAATTCAATAAACATGTCCCATATTTTAATTTTCGGACCCTATAAGCAGTGGAAAGTACATTTTTATTGATAACTGGGAAGCTTGGTACTTGTTTTTTTGTGAAACTAATAAAAAAGCAAAGGCTATATTTGGTAAGAGTACCACTTAGTAGTGTATTGACGTTATGCAGTTACTGCAGATATAAGATATATTGTGGGTATATTTACTAGCTTTTTTTGTCTATAAACACGTAACACCACTAAATGTGTCCGAGAATGGTTCACCGCACCAACCACAACATTACGTTTAATAATACTGTCATACTATCGCTCATAAGGTGTGGAAGACACAGCAGTGCTCTAAGCACTGTGCTGATGTGAAGTTTTATGGATAGTGCCACTTTAAAAGGTCCACAGAACAAACACAGTGGATCAATTCTAATATCTTATTTTAAAAAATGCTCATGTCTTAGCAATTGACATTTCTCCATGGAAAACATGCACGGTGGGCGTATTACATTTTAAACCAGCTTAACCCATTTATTCCAATTTACATTTGTCTTAGGGAAAAATCTCCATGAATGAGAATGTTATGGAATTTTCCATTTTAGCTTCCTTCAAATTCTGAATCATTTAATATATTGCTTACATTACTTAAAACCAAAATCTCGAACCGTTCGTCAATGATACTGCCTTGTAAGAAATATATAAAAAATATATACAATAGGTGACGTTTCGAGCAATGGCCCTTCTTCATAGTAAATGTGCTATTGAACATGTGTTATTGAAGAATGTCTTGGGGAGGTTTTTTTTGCTTAATGGTGCGTGTGCGCTACTGCCAATGCAGTGTCACCAAATACGTTGATTTACTTTAAAAAGTAGATTTTGTGTTCCAGCAAGTCATATAACCATAAAGAATTTAACCAAATGAAACCCACCTAATACATTGATAATCACCGCATATGGAATTTGTATTAACACGGAAGTCAATAGCAGTAGCAACATGCCAGTCCTACCAGGTGAAGTGTAGATTTAAGAATACTCACAACAGCAACATAAATCAAATATTCTCATCTTCCACCATCACAATGGGATTATGTGTAAAACTCACAATATGGCTTAGTGTGGGTGTGTCAGGTTGCTTGTATGACAAGGTATTGTTACATGTGAGATGCATGTGGTAGAATTGATGCTAATTATATTTTCGGAAATGCTCATGGTAGAAAGGTAAGATTATGGATATAGTAAAATGGAGATGGATGTAGCAGAATGAACGTTAATTTGATATATATTTTTTAAATACTCACGTGACTTTATGTAAAAGCAAGAAAAGCTGAACATTTTTGAATTACTGAATGAAATAGAATTCAGCATTTACCACAACAGGAAGTCTCTGTGGCTACAATGTGGTTATAAATGATAAATATTCACAATATTTAGCATCTCTAGGGAACAAAATGCATTTGGACAGCACATGGCCACAGTTATTGTGATTGGGCTCTTAAAAATGAGCTCGTGAGAGGCCAGCTGTGGAGGCTGCTGATGCCGCCAATGTAGGCAGTAGTTTCGAGATTGCAATACTTCTGGTTTCTCATCGTCTTCATATATAGGATACATAATCATCATTATTTATTTGTAATTTCGATGTGTAATTTTACATCTTTATTCAATTTGAAATTGATGATGTGTATGAGTTCCTGGGTGAATTGTTGTAAGATATAACATTCTTTTGATTACCATAAGCCATGGTCTATCCACACCATCGCTGTCCCTTACAGCCCTATGATGACACAATCCATCTCACTCCTGCACATGAACTCAATCTTCCCGCTCTCTCTCCATAGCGGGCTTCTTCTCATATGTGTTCCATCTTTGGATCATATGCTATATTTTCAGCCTTGTATAGTCGCTTGATAGGTGAACAAAATATATACATTTAGTGTATGGATGTACACATAGAATAAAATCTAGAACCACTGGGACAGCTGGTATAGAGATCAGGCTAGGTCAGATGAAAGTATACTCTCCTGATGCTATTCATATTTGATCTAAAACTGAACACCAAATATGCAGATATTGTGTGACAAGTAGATTCATGTAGTTTTTGCCTAGGAGTTGTTTACTGTGACCTTATGACAAGTAATTGAACTGGCTATTAGCCTTTAGTGCTACACTCTCCAAACTGTGACAGTTTAAAATTTGGCAGTGTTCCTGAAAAAAATAATTAGATTCCATCCGTGCATGGAATTGTACTTTGGCTTTTCAAGATTGTTTTGAACCGACGAGCCAACATATCCACACGTGCTTTAAACTCTGTTCATTCTGCCACAATGGTGCTCTTAAAATTATGACAAGATGCACATTTTAGGCACATTCAAACTTTCCACAGCTGTGTGCGAGAGAACAAATGTTTGATGTCTGGTGCTGAAATGTATCGTGTTGAAAAGTGTATATCTTTGTTTTAATACTCTTTGGAAATTAGTACTTTTGTGCCAGCAGTATGTTTTTTTTACTGCTACAAAGATTTTATTTGCAAGATGGTAAAAAAATAGTCCTAAAGCATTTTTTATAATTCATATTAAAGTTGTTTTTGTTTGAGATCCAAACATGTCCTCCATTTTCCATTATTTTTGTGGACGGCAATTGAAAGATGGAGGGCGTCTCAGACTCATGGCTGGGGATTTTTTGCCCCCATTGCAAATCTTGGCAAGACAGTGCGGGCCTCCGTCTGGCCAGAGTTAACCGCGTAACGGGCGTGCAGCAAGCACAGCAATAGGATTCGCAGAAGCATTACATTTTGGCTACGTTTACTTTGAAGCAGCCTAATGCCAGCAACTTGGGAAGCCGTTTCCACATTTTGCACGCGTCTCATGACCAGTCCAGATGTGGGACCTGGCACGTTTAATCCAGTGTCCTTTAATTGTCTGGCAGCCATACGGTGCCTGCTGAGATAGTGCAGTGGCTAAGTTTATGATGTGGCCCAAGAATGGTGAAATAACAAACATATATCAAAATACTTTTTATAATAATATTTGAAACAGAGTTCTCCATTTCAATAGTATTGTTGCCCTTTAATACACTCTACGATATAAACTAGAATACAATGAAGTGTAAGCCTGAATTATTGTCAATAAGATTCGTTTGTGCTGGGTACCTCTATGACTGTGATGGCTCGAGTGGTTATTGCAAATGGCATCATGTTGTGTTCTTGTCAGTGTTGTATTACCAGGCATGGAGTGTTTTCATTCACCTATTGTGATTAAAATCCATTATATTGGTGTCTTAAAAACCCTTCAAAGTGCATTGTTAAGTTATTAATTGTGCATATAATAACGTAATTGACCAAGCATTGACATTTCTTCTCATGCCATTGCTTTAAATTCCCGTAAATTACTTGGCATCATCTTTATCAACCAAATGAAAACCATTATATTGGCTGTTTTTATGTACTGTATATACATTTTAAAGCGTAATAAATACAGCCTATATTTGCTTGCGGAATGAAACACATTGTTTATTCAGTTGTATTACGAAGTTAGCAAAAAAATGCAACCAACATTATTTTTAGCATGCCATCTTCAGTTACTACATTACTGTACGTCATGATTTAATCGCTTACTTTCCATACAGAATATGAACTCTGCATCCATCAAAACTGGGCAGCTCAGAAGCTGAGTTACATAATCTGAATACTGGATCACAACTGAAACTATGTATGTGGCAGGAGCAAATTGGATGTCTGCTACTATGGACATGGATAAAGAGAATGAAAACCACAGACTGTGAAGTGCTCTGGCTTGGGCAGAATAGTAGGATTTTGGCTGGGAGCAGCACTCACTGAGACAAAATGGATAGATTGGTGTACTTTGGCGATTTCAGGAGCCATGGCTTTTAAACTATTTATATTTTACCAGATAAGGCCCACTGAGCTATATATATATTTTTCAGAAGCGGCCTGGCCACAAATGATAGCTCAACGAAGTGGCTTATTACGTGGACATTTATAGCAGCCAAATACTCGAAACGCATGTTTATGAATGTGGACGTAAAAACCGGAGGACCCAATGAAAAATCCACGCGACCACGGGGAGAGGTTTTCGGAGCTTCCCGACTGATCCCCGCCTCTGACCTTTAGCCCAGTTATGCCCCGCTTATGGTTGCCTATTATATAACGCACCCATACCCGTAATTATCCCTCCTGGTCAACATATGGCACCCTGTCACTACACTAGTGTAGTTTCAGTCAGTCGGAGACGAGGTTTGTAGAGTCACCTTCTTTATTGAACACACACGACCTCGCCTACACACTATACAGTTGCTAGTCTATACACAACACTAGCCATCTAACATCGACGGCGCTGACCGAGACAGCTAACAGGCTATCTAGCAGCGCAATATCGAGCAAAGACAGCAGCGACGATGGCGACGAGACGACAGCAACGATGAGACTATCCAATCTCACAACCGGCAGCCTCAAGCTCCCGCTCTCGGCCCCACTAGCAGCTTCCAGGGGCTTCTAGATGGGCCCTCCATGACCCTTACCCCAGTTCTTCTGCCCTGCCGACACACCCGTGTATATGTTCACCGGCGTGTGTACTGTTTGTCCACCTCAGTTGCCGCTGCTAGTCACCAGCCGACGCTATTACACTACACTAGTACAGCACACCGGTGTGTTGGAGAGCAAAGCCACAACATTACAATCTGAGCCACAACGTTGTAAGTGTTCTGCCTTTGCCCTCCTACATACCGGTGTACGGTACTAGTGTAGTGTCTTGTTAAATTACTCACACCGACACGTTGTAACAAGTCACCTTCTTACACTTTATTTCACCTGTTCTCACGCCAGTTGTAGGCACTCCTATAACTATCTGTACGGTCACATACACTTGCTCTTATCTATTCTGCCCAGCACTTATCCTGCACTCAGTAATTCTGCACACAGCAGCTCTGCACTCAGCAACTCTGCACACAGCAGCTCTGCACTCAGCAACTCTGCACACAGCAGCTCTGCACTCAGCGACTCCGCACACAGCAACTTCACACTCAGTGACTCTGCATCTCCACTGCTGCCCCCACCTACGCTCCCTCATACCCGTTCACTTGTCTGTCCTTGGCGGGGGGTTCAGCCAACACCCGCCCGGCGACGGCGTGAGGGTTGAGGTCCCATTGACGGCTTGAGCGGCAGCGGCGAGATGTAGTCACTCTTCGTTCCTGGGCAACTCAACTCTCTGCTTATGCATACTCCCCTTATATATCCCACTTAAGCTGCCATCTGCCCAGCGCCCCTCGCCCTCGCTAATCCTTATCATCACCCCCATCTCCTGGCTCCATGGCCAACCCCATGTTCCCACGCGCACACCTGTTCGACCTCAGTTGCACCCGCTTCTCCCCTTAATTACTGGCGGTTTGTCGGTGCAAACCTCATGTTGCAACGCACACATCTGTTCGACCTCAGTTGCACCCGCTTAACAGAATGCACCGTGTATATCTCTGCTCTACACTAGTAACGAATTGGCATGTTCTGCTTAAGTGATATGTCGGGTGGTGGCGGGTTTAACGACACATTTATATATTTACGCGATCTAACCTTAAAAACCTGTATTATGGATGATATTGGTCGTGTTAATGATTAATTGAATGTGCACTGAGTGGAGTTCCTTTAGTCCCACTTGCCCATCAATGTTCACAGAGCCCCAGCGTGCAATCGACCTATTTCCTCCCCGAGGGTTGGTTACCCCAGCCTAGAATAGGTTGCTCAGTACTGTTGACAGAGTCATGTGAGCAACTGACCTACCCATTCCTGGACGGTTGATTACCCCCAGCTTGGAGTAGGTTGCTTGGTTATTGCCTTGTTCTATTAATAGAGCCATTTGGTGAACCGAACCCACCCTTCCTTGGGGGTTGGTGACCCCCAGCTCCGTGTGTTACTCAGTGTCCACTTGCTTGTGATTTATTAACAGTCACGTGAGTAACTGACCTCCTCTTCCTCCCTGGGGCTCATCGTAGTTTACTCGGTTTTAACTTAGCGGGTGGTTTTAGCCAGCGAGTAACCATCCTACTCCAAGTATTCATAAATTAATAATTTACTTGAATTCGCACTATGGGGTTTAGTGTAATTAGGATTTATCCATAAGGGTTCGTTGTACGTAAATATGAATCTAGTTCAGTGTTATTTCATACAGTCAATTATATTGACATGCAATTGTCCTAAAGATTATATCACAGCCACACCACTGAAGCACATTGCTGCTCTTTGGAACATACATTTCCAAGTTGATTATGCATAGGTAGCATTACAATTATTTATATGCATTTCTCCACTGAGTGTTATTGTGCTGAGAATAAAAGGTCTATGTTTTCACTACATTCTGGAATGCACTTTCCTCCTCTTAAAATATTTCTGCTGGAAACTATTCTTAAAGAGCCTCAGCACCATACTCGGCCATAATATGTCGTTTGCAAAATATCGTCAGGTTCTGCAATTTTCATATCAGGGCTTTACGACTCATTGCACCACCATTGAGTTGTAACATAGCCATCACGGTGGTGTGTAGCATAGATCGATAAGGTTTGCTTATTGCATCTCACCCCTCTATGGGACGTCTGCCAAAAACAATACCAAGCTGCAGCGTGTACACAATTATTTGGCACGTGACGTGACGGGCACTGCAAGATCCGACCATGTCCGTCAAGTGTTCACTGAGTTACATAGCCTTGCTATTGTTGAACCAATACATAAGGTCGCATTCATTGCACACAGATTGCTTGCCACAAATTAACCACAATACCTTTCTGATCTCGTCAGGGAACATGAACCATCACGCGAACTCCAGTCATCCTCGCAGCGGCTTTTGGCTAGCGATCGAACAAAAACGATCACTACATCGTGCGCTTTCGGATGTGCTTCTGCGGCCGTCTAGAACGCTATCCCTTCCGATGTTAGGAAGCCATTGGAGCAATGCACTTTTAAATATAGATTGAAAGCGAATTTCTTTAAACCTTCGTTTTGTATTTAGTTTGTTGTCCTTCCCCTGCACCTCCAATTACCACGGGTGGCTACGTACGGTGGGAAAGAAGTTCAACATACATACATATTTTAACAAGTGTTCAAATGTGGATACAAAACATCGCATACTACATTTACCATTGATATAACCCAACCTATATTTGGAAGGCTAAGATTGTGCTATATAAGCGATGGACACCTCGTATTGTACGAAAAGTAATCGATTTGTACGTCAGGCAACAACCCAACGTTCTGATTTATTTGAGATCAAACACCTCCCAGCCAATCAGAACGCTCCTGCTCTCCCGTGCGCTCGGCAGGTGACCGGTGCACAGGGCGGGGAGGCGGGGGCTGCTGGTGGGGGTTGCCATGCACGAGGTGGGGTGGGGGCGGGGCACCCGGGGGTGCAAGCTAAAGTTGTTGGGGGTAGGACCAGTCTCGCAACGGTGGACAACTACCCCACGTCTCTCTGATTGGCTGGAGCCCATGCCACAAAAGCATCATTTTTGCAGTACCGTACAGTAAAATGTTGTCAACATTTTTCTTGCTTTTCAACATTCTGGCTGACAAACAACATCAATTGGCATATTTGTCCACACGACAACCTGATTGTGTTGGCTTTCTCGGGTAGTGGATGGTTAGAAAAAATGGCATACCTATGCAATCGGGCCCAAAATAAACTAATTATGAATAATAATAGTGGTCAGAAGAGCCTACATATAAAATTAAATGTAAGCCTGCATGAGATGGAATGCTTGCTCTATGCAGTATTCATGCAATATTGCTCTACATGTGAGGGACATCTCATTTGAAAGAAACATTTTCAAATGTTGCATTGTATTTTAGATCCCGATATACACATTCGGGAGCAAGGAGTTTAATTAAGCCTTTGCCTGTGGGCTTAGCAACTACGTTGCTTAAACAACAACATTAAGTGCAGTACAATGTACTTATTGGCAATGGAAGAATGCTAGATGGAAAATAAATATCATAGGAATATACAGAATGTTCTTATAATTTTGCACTTTTGAAAACTACATTGAGATTATTGTCATTATTTAACAATATACTGCATACCGATGTTTTTTAGATATTCATAAGACTGATATATGAAATACGAACGTTATTATATAAAAGCATCATCGTGCGCTTTTATATTACAATTACGCACTTATGAGTGAAACAATACAATCGTGTTGTTTTTTTTACTTGAACTTCTCGAATGACTCTTTAAATAGCATTCCCTGCCAATAATGCCAGGATGATCTTGCTGACCCCGTGATCCACAGATGATGCGCTGATTTGGGAGGATTTGCTGTCCTTGCTGCCGGCGTTGTGGGAAGGTAACGGCATCGGAGAGGAGCTGGGAAAGGGGACGCGTTTCGAGGTGGTGCTCACCGCTTCGGGGGGTCATGGGAAACACGCGGGCCTCGCGCAGGTCTGTAGCAACCTCCCTTCCGACTTGTCATCCTCCTCGTTGTCTGTCTTTTCTCCTGGATTATCTCACAGGAGTTTGTATAAACGTTTAGATACATTTAACAGGGACGATTGGCGAGAAGACTAAGATCAGAGCCAGTGAACATGATGTGGAATAATGATGACAATGAATAAATTAATGTTTGATCGCGAATCAGATATCGTTTTCATGGAAAGTTAGTGTTAAAACTATTGACATTGAATGTACTAGTGTATGTACTGTAATGATTTATTGTTCGTTATGGCACGATAGAGTATACAGATACACGATGCATATTTTCTGCCATTGGAATATCAAATGACAGTCATACGTGGCCCTGTTATAGCCTATTTATGATGAAGTCATTATGAAGCATATTCAGTCGAATGATTCACCCGCTGGCAGTTTGATGACTTGTCGCAATTGAGGATCATGATTAGGTTTTAAGAATATCGATACATTTTCAATATTGTCGTGAATGGTAACACTTCTCGTGGCTGCAGGGTCTGCATTAACTTATTTGATACAACACATATGTATAGAAAAACGTGGCATTTTATACACATTATTTGATGGATGTATCATGGGCTGAAGTACTTTCATTGATATATCAATGAATAATTCCATACCTGTTTAAAACATTGAATGATGGCCATCTCTCGAATCAGTGGACCTCCATCTTTGATGTATTTTCGGGTAGTACTGTGTGTTGTTCAGCATCATGTCCGACGTTTTGTTCGCCTACATCAGTGGCACAGCCTACATTAGCATCGGCTGGCAACTGCTCAGTTCGATTCCTGAAGAAGCTCCCAGTACGGGGAGCAAATGTCAGACATCATACCGAATGATACACGATACAAAGGGAAAACACATCAAATAGCTGTGCAGCACAATCGTAAAGACCTATACATCAATGGACCTCCATGTTGAACTGTACAATACTGATGGAGTTGGCTATGTCTGTATTTTTGCCCATAGAGACGTACTTAGTGAGTGAGGGAACACCACAACATTATGGCACGGAAATCAAAGGCTTTGGGTCAGACTTTGATCAGTGCCATCTGTCAGGGTTTTAGATCACCTTACACATGTTGTCCACATTTGCTGAGCATGTGATGTAATGGTGAGGATGATCTCATGTACTCTTTTAAAGACATGTAAGGTACACCTCAGATGGATTTAATTGTGGTTGTACTTATTTTCAAAGGAAGATGGTACATTGCACGGGCTCATTTGACATTACACAACACCAAAAATGTTAACAGATATGAGGATGTTGTGAATTCCAGTAAATATTCTCCGGGCCAACCATGTACCCTCTTGGCTCAGTAAACTAAACCGTGTTTATATCGTGGTTAGTTGTAATGGTTGAAATGGTTATTAAAATATTTCGTGAATTAAACTTCTCATTTTGTGTCTATAAAAACTTAGATTCAGTCCCATGGGTGAATGAAGGAAAAAATAATACAATAATAAAATGTATCCTTTCTCCTGATTATACATTTCCATGAATGTCTAACAATATGACATTTCAGTTACAAGACCTACTTGTTTGCAAAAATACTAGAACGTTTTCAGACCACACCGAAGTATATTATATAACATTTGGCTGTAGCATTCTATTATATCTACACAGAATTGTGGCCGCTTTCTATTAAATGGAAACTTTCAACAGATGTCCTGCCAAATGTGTCATTTAGTACTATCAAACTGTACAGTAAAACACGTGGAAGCCTTATGAGTGTAAAGTTGGTATTTCACATTTAAAGAATGCCAATTCTTTCTTGAGGAAGAACACCAATTAGATGCACTTTATCTCCCACCCTTCTGCCTCAGGAATGTCTGCACTACTGAGATCCTGGGTGAAAGCTTTTAGGGGTGCCACAGTGGTGAGATGTTAACTACCTCGCCTAGTATATAGGAGGTCGTAGTTTTGATCCCGACCCTGACGCCTGTATATTTGGAGTTTGCATGTCTCTCGCTCCCCGTGGATGTGTGGATTTTTCTCTGGGTTCTCTGGGTTTTCTCTCCATATTTATAAACGTGCTTACAGTATTTATCTGCTCTACATTTCTACAAGATAAGCCACTTCGTTCAGCTGTCAATTGTGGCCAGGTCGCTTATGAATAATAGGTAAATAGCTCAGTGGGCCTTACCTGGTAAAATAAATATTCAATCTAGATTTGAAGTTTTCATGACTACAGAGATACATACTCTTTGGTTCTTTCGGTAAAGTCACGTAGGTATAAAATTAAATAAATTAAATCACGCGTTTCGCCCCCCCCCCCCCCCCCGCATTTTGTCTGCTCGTCCTCTAAACGTTTTCGCAGCACTCCCCTCCCCTACCCCCCCCCACCTCTCTATCTCTCCCCCCCCTTGCTCCTCCCCCCTCTCTTACCTATATAGCCTGTTACAGCTGCCCTTTTGCCCACTTCAGCAATTGTTTCTTGCTGTGGTTGTCCCACCTGATGACGGACGTGTGTGTTGCGCCCGAAACGTCGTGATTTTATTTATTTTATTTTATACCTACGTGACTTTACCGAAAGAACCAAAGAATATAAAATCAATATTGTTTCGCTTAGTTTTTAATCAGTGGAACATTTTCAAAACTTCAGCTGCCTACTGGTTTGACAGTGGGCTTGCATATGTAATAAACGACTTCCACGACGGGTTGAGACTTGCGTCCTTTCTTTATTTAGTGATGACTGCTCAGCTTCCACACCGACCCCGAGTCCTCCCCTTGCCTCTCCTTATATCCCTCTCGGCGGAGCAAAGCTCCACCTCTAACCACACCCCCCTCAGAACCTTCCCGATGGTTCCTGCATGTACCCATGAGCTCCACCCATGAACTTTGGCCCAGATGGAATCCTTAGACCTGATTGGCTATGACCGATGCAGCAGTGCCTATGCAGCCCTCCGTCACCCGTCGGTGTGCTCTCTCATTACATCACCCGCCCCCCCCCCCCCCCCCCCCGGGATAAAAAAAATTAGCCGTCCCGGCTAGGAAGAAGGTTAACCCAGATAATGGGAGAGCAATACCACAGAATCCGACGAGAATAAGAACAACAATAACAGAATGCATAAAATTTAGCGCAACGAACGCAACACGAAAGAACTAGCGTGAAATAGGAAGGATTAACGAAATCAGCTTGACTTGGAATAGGTCCGCGACGCCGGACCATCCCCAGCATCGACGTGCGGCCTCGCTGGCTCCAACGCAGTGAGAGGTTGAAGTGCCGACGGTGCAGCGGTGGATGCAGCCGACGTCGTGGGGCTGGCTCGAGCAGAGTCGTCAGCAGCAGAAGTCCTCAGGGCCTGGGCGGAGTCCTTCGGGAGATCAACCAGCAACTGGGTTGGCGTGTCGGATGCATCAGACCCCGGTAAGCCAATCTTTAGAGATGACGAACCGACGTGCGGAGGAAAGAATGGTTTCAACCGGGATGTGTGGACGAACCAACGACGGGATCCCGCCCGGATGCGCACACACTGAGGATGCCGAATTTCAACCAACTCCACAGGCCCCTGCCACGGCCTGTGCAATTTGGGAGAGGTGCCCACAGGCACCTGAGGGCAACGAAGCCAGGCCCAATCACCCACAGACTACGGTACTTCACGGCCAGACCTTCGTGCACAACGTTTGTTACGAGCTTGAGTTTTGGCCGTGCTAATTCGCGCCGCCTCCCGTGCTTCAGCAATGCGGCGTATGGAGTCCCGGACGTGGTCGGGAAGGGTTTGTTTGGGGCCCTTAATGGGCGTCCCCAACTGCGCACCAGGGCGGAACATTCTCCCGTCCGTACATGAGAAAAAATGGCAAGTGTCCGGTGGAAGCGTGTGGGGCCATCCGATAGGCAGAGAGAACGCCAGGCATATGCAAATCCCAACCGGCCTGTTTCTCACTGGCAGTGTGACAGAGCATGGCAGTCAAGGTACGATTTAGTCGCTCGACCATCCCATCAGTCTGCGGATGGTAGGGCGAAGTCCTGATCTTTTTAGTGCCCAACGCGTCACAAACATCGAGCAGTAATTTGGACGAGAAATTCCGACCTTGATCCATGAGCAATTGTCAGCCAGTCACGAACACAAGATGTCTTGTCAGGGTCCGTAGCGATACCGTTGGAGTTCACAATGTATTCCAAGTAACGCATGGAACGTTGCAACAGATGACATTTTTTTGGTTTAAATTTGAGGTTAGTGGAACGCATCCTGTCAAAAACGGCCCGCAACCGTCGAAGGTGTTCCTCGAACGACTGAACACAATATCATCCAAATATATGAGGCACGTGTCCCATTGCAATCCCGCCAAAACGAGCTCCATCAAGCGTTGGAATGTGGTGGGAGCAGAATTTAGTCCCATGGGAAGACAGTTGAATTGAAAAAGTCCCTGAGGCGTGCGGAACGCGGTTTTCGGCTTCGAAGAGTCATCCAGGAGCAACTGCCAAAACCCATAAGAGAAGTCGAGAGTCAAAAAATACCGCGCTCCCAACAGCGAGGGAGTTATCCATCCATGGCAGAGGGTACGCATCGGCCACAGACACCTTATTAAGTTTGCGAAAATCGATACAGAACCTGAGATTGCCATCCTTCTTTTTGACGAGAACAACCGGTGCCCCCCACGGGCTGTTAGATGGGGAAATTATGTCAGCGGCCAGCATCTCATCCACCGCGCTCTGCACCCATCTTTTTTCCGTGAGGCTCAACCAGTGGAAGTTCTGCCGAATAGAACTGGCTTCCCCGGTATCAATGTGGTGGGACAAAAGCGACGTGCGACCCAAATCGAAATCATCTTTGCTAAAGACGTCAGCAAACTCAATCAGCAGCACACGCAACTCCCCGCGTTGATCAGCGGCCAACGATAAATTATCATGGTATAGCTCGGCAATCAAACGATACGTCCTCGTTGTAGTCTGTAAAAGTGGTAATGGCATGAGCCAGTACCGTACCAGCAGGGACCAAAACCCCTTTTGGACCCCCATTTTGAACCT